AAATAAAAAAAAAAAAAAAAAACAGAGCACAAGCATAAATTAGAAAACAGGGGTGAACAGAGAAATAAGAACTGAAAAAAATAGAAAAGAGGGGCAACTTCTCTATATCGCTTTAGGGCAGGGGTGATCCTTCTTCTGCACCTTTTTCTGAACTCGTGGTGGTTGTATCTACTCCGGTTGATTCTCTTTTCCAGTCTTCAGTATAGTGCTCAAATTGGACACAATTCTGACAGAACTTAGGCCTCCACTCATATTCAATGTCTTGATTCCAAATGTTGCCATCAGATTTTTCAATGGTTACCTTGTCTGGCAGTGGTTGAGTTATGTCCATCTTAATGAGAATTCTGGCATATGAGATCCTATCACCTTTGGCAGTCAATTTATCAGTACATATTGGTCGACCCAAATAGCTGGCAAGTCGACCCAAGTTCTCTTCAGTCCAGCATTGTAAAGGCAATTTAGGGAATGACACCCATAGAGGAACAAATCTCAGAGGCTCCTTGTTCAATTTAAAATCTGGTACCCATTCCTTTAGTATTATCGGTCTGCTGTTGAAGGTGTAAGGCCCATTTTGAAGTAAGATGTGCTTATCTTCCTCCGAGTCAAACTTGAAAATGAAGTAGTACCCATCGTCATGGAGGAATACTCTCGGAGTTGAAAAAAATGCCACACTCCATAGACAAACTGTAACATCTCCTTAAACGCAGGAGTGCCACCCAAAACATAACCAATTAATGCACTTCAACATTTCCTACNGGGGGGGACTTCAATTGCATGCCTAGGTTTTGAGCTCGATTGTTTTTAACCACATCCGCCATAGTAGGAATTTCAGATCCAGAGTTTACCTTGGTAGGGCTTGGCGCAGGTTGTGCAATGGGGAAATTCAGCCGTCGAGCAGTAGTATTAGTTGTCTCATCCTTATGTATCGGTACCGGCGACTGGATCTCCTGTGGCACACGACTTGGACCTTCTGCTCCCGGCACCCAGTTGATCAATTGCAATGGAACCAGAGCTTGGGGAACGCCTGACTGAAGGGTAATTACCCTCACATCATCATCTATCTTCGTCGCAGGGATTGGAGCTTGAGTTGCCTGTCGTTTCCGGCGCGGCATCGCGGGGAGCGCACGTTAGCACACCTTTGCTTAACTTGCGCCTGCAGAGCTTCTCTCTCCTCTCTCTAAATGTTGCTCTTGCAAATTATTTCAGTTTCACTGTTATTCTTTCCCAAGTGGTATAATATTACTTTTAAGTCCATACTTGTTAAGAGTGTAGATGATGGACCTTCTCAAAAAGAGTGTAAATCGTTGAATCTAGACATCCTTAATGGTGGTTGTGATTACACGGAAGTTGGTTGGAGATATTATGTTTGGCCAAAGTGAAAACTGCTAAATATGCTTGCTTGCTCTTAACCACTTGATTGAGCACCAAAACTTCCTCTTCCCTTTAATTTAGACATGACTCATGAGCACACTTGCTCTACACATAGTGTCTGCTGAGGATAGAAGTTCCTCTTTGGGAGCCAGATTAACTTATATTAAGATGTGATAAGATTCTTCATCAGCTAGAGAAGATTGTGCTGATTGTAGTTATGCCTTTCAGTTGCAATTTACTGATAAGGAGATGGGAGATGAGGTTTCAGAGAAGGAGTGGGTTGTGAGTAGATCTGATGGCTTTTCAGGAAAGTGCATGTTTGGCCTTTTAAGGACCTAGGGTTGCCCAGAGGTCACATGAGGTTTTCTTGTTTGATTGTTTTTGGAACATAATTCAAGTTTTAGCTTCCTTTACTTGAAAAAACGTAATGTATATGGGTTCTCTACTGCTTCCAGAGTTCTTTAAGTGCATATGTTTTTCTTTTGTGTTGTCTGAGTGGGGTAGCACCTGTAGTATTAATTAATGGAGTTCTTACTTTCTGAGAGCAGGGGCGAAGCTACACTCTGGTAAAATATTAGGTTTTAGAGGTATATAACATACATTGAACACTCTTTGTCGGAAATTTTGTTTACTTCTTTTAAGTTTGAACATCCTATGGGAAATTCCTGGCTTCGCCTGACAGTAATACCTCCATGCTCCCCCACATTTTTTGCTCATTTTTGAGACAAGCATTTAATGTCATGCGCTTTAATTATGTAGACTTAATGGAGTGGTCGACTGATTCTTCCAATACTTAGTCATATGTTTAATAGCCTGAACAACTGATGTTACTGCTTCCAACTTCAGATGTACAATAAACCCTGGTGAGAATGAAGCGTTGGTTCGATATGCATTGGACACACACAAGTTTCTCTCGTTAGCATCACAGGTTAGCTTAAAAGCTTGCATATTCATTTAAAACAATACTTCCAGTAAATTTATATTAAAGGAATTGTTTGCTGTGTAGAAATCATTGAGGATGTATAGTGAGAAATTACTTTTCATCAATATACTCATCAAGATTTTCTAGCTTACCATTGATCTTACTTATATTTCTAAATCATGTGTTTCTTTCAGCATCCAAAAATTGGAGGACCCGGCCTCACTGGTAGTTGTCAATTGCCTGACGGATTTATTGAGTAAGCATCTTTCCATTTCATAGTGTTTGCTTTGCAAGACGTAGTTGTCACTTGTGTGTTGAAAAACTGTATAAACAGTTTATACCCATGACATGTGCTTTAGCTAGTTAAGCTCATTTTGTTCGCATTCTCGTATGTTCTTATAAGATGGATGTGTTGGTGTCTATTGAGTAATTCCTAAAATATGTATGGCGAAGCTTGAATGTGTGTGCATGCCAAACAAAGATTGTAACAACTAAAAGATAAAGAAAGAACCTTTGAGTCATCTCTATTTTTTCTAAATTTTAACTGCCTAGACTAGTAGCAGAACAGAGATTAATATAGATACAGAATTTCTGCAATGGCTGTACGTTTATTTGAAAGGTAGTAGTTTTTCCATCGTCATTGTAGGAACGGCATCATATAAACATCATGGTGTGATGCTGTTTCTTGTGCGGAAACTCATCAGTATATGTTGCATTATATATCATGATTGGTGGTATTGACATCACCGCTGCTTTTAAATTTCCAGGGAATGGTTAAAGCCCGGCGAGGAAAATCGTGTTCAGAGATTTGATCCGTCATCCGACCTTGATACGATAGGATTTTTCATAGCCAAGTTCAGTGTTGGACACAAACATCTGAGTTGAATGTGACGTAACACTAACTCTGGGAACAGGTGATTTGGCAATGAAATTACATGAACTTCGATGATGCAAGTTCAGGCCCAATGTAGTAACTTGTTAGATTGCAGAATCAGTTAGTGAAACTTTGAATGCACGATAGACTAGCCATATACTGAGACCTGTAAGAGAACTGACAATCTTATATTTTGTTGGTATTTGAACTACTCTTGCCAAATTCTGCCAACTTCCAAGGATTAAACAACTCACTGATTGCACTAAAGAATGCTTAATCGTGATTACGACTTCCGCAGCTAGATATTGTGTTCATTGGAGACGGCTAAAGTTGCTAGTTCCGCATTGAAGATACTATCGAGCAAAAGACATAAGTATAGAGAAATTATTAAATAGAAAATGACTTGACAAATCCAATAAATTCCGCTCGTAATTGAATGGATAATACAACGAAACTTTGTGAAATTGTTTTTTACTCGCTACAAGTATTTCGCTCTAGCTCTCTAGTTCTCTTGGCTATCATTACATTTTTTGACTCGTGGAAAGTGGAAAGGCAGAAGCGTCTCTTTTGAAAGGAGTCAATAAAAAATCAAAATATGGGCTAACTTAAACTAATTTAAAACTTAAATCGAATTTTCTATTCTTACGCATTCTGAGTCTTTGCGAAATACTTAAACTATTGAAGACAAATCCAGTGAAATTGTACACGTCTGAGGAGGGTAATGTATACACAAATTTTACCCTACCTTATGAAGGAAGAGAAGTTGTTTCTGATACAATATATATTATATTAAAAGGACGAAAGACCCTTAGCGAAATGTTATTCGTCTTTTTTATCCTTGGTAAGTACATTTTATGTTGGATAAATTCGTAATTTTAATACAAAAAGGTATTTTGAGAAAAACAAAATTAAATTGCCCAACAATTTATGTCACTTTAGGTTTTAGCATTATATTTTTCTACCGTAATTAGTGTCCTTTTAGATTAGGATTGTTTAAACAGAATTGTCGAGCAATTAATGTTAGTCTTCTTTTATCATAATTAAAGCCACATTTTGGTCTTCTAGAATTCTAAACCAAAAGTACATAAGGAACAACAATTAATAACACTAGATTTAGTATTCTTTTAGTATAATAATAATTTCAGTAGGTTACAAAGTTAATTTTTTGTTGTCTAGAATTTTAAACCAAAACGAAATCAGAAGCAACATTTATTTTTGCTTTAGGCTTGGTATTCTTTTACCAAAATCGAACAAGAAGCATCAATTAATGTTAGTTTAGATTTAGTCTTCTTTTACTAAAATTGCCGTAGGATACACACACAAAAAAAATTGTAACCGTTTAGAATAAGGAGCTAAACGCTTCTATAAAGGGAGTCAGTATTTCATATTTTTTTATCATAAAGTCTTGATAATGTGGACGTGTGTCGAAGTAATTTTTTTGGGCTTGTCAGTTTTGTTTTTTATTTATGATATCCCATGTACCAATATCAGTTTAAAATTATCTCCACTAAATAGTTATTTACCTTTTTTCATTGGAGCTTAATTAAAAATCCGTAATGTATGTCTTTCTGTTGTGTGTTGCACAAACTTTTTTGGTTAAATCTACCTGAGTAGTCAAGTTTTTATTTTTCTTTATACCTGATTTTTAAGTTTCTTCCTCTTTTCTTAATGTTTTTTTTGTAACTGAATGAGCGGTACCGATATCTATTTGATGTGAAAAAGTATTTGCTAATGTATGTCTTTCTGT